GAGGGAGCACCGCCGGTGCCGACGGCTGCCGGCCGTCTTCTTGTCGGCGTTAGTCTCCTTTTGGCGCTCCCCTTCACGCATTCACGCATGCATATACACACGGACCGGGAGAAACGGCCTGGCTCTGTCGCCCGCATCCTCCGTCCCCCCCTCCCCCGCGGCAGAAGGGACAAGCAAAAACACGCCCCAACCTCTCGAGAGACGCATGCCGGGGGCGTTCGACACGCACGCGTTGGGCCCTCTCTCTCCAGCCTCGCCCCCTGTCTCGCGGGTGGATAGGGTCACACACATATGTTGGCTTCGTCCCTCGGCCGATACCCCCCGCCCCCGAAAGACCGGCTCGCACAAGGATGTGGGCACGGAATTTTTCCAACGGACACTTCTCCACACCCGGAGTGCGCATCCCTGGGGCGCGGGGGATGCCGCCGATCCGGGCAGCCGGGGGCGACTCGCCACCCCCCCCCCCCGCTCCTACCCCGAGAGGGGGTCGCGGCCAGCAAAGCGAGACCGACGCGCCCGGGCACGAGCATATATATCCGTCCTGGGCACCCTCTCTCCCCCACTCGCACCAGACACCCCGCACACGCCCCGCCGCTAGAGACACTCTTGGGAACTACTGGCTGTTCTGCTATCTCGGGGGCGGGGGGGGGACGTCTGGCGAGACTCCTGCTCTCTCGGCCTCCCCTTCGCGCGTGTCGCGATCCCATCGCTGCCCCTCCCCTCTTCGGAATCCCCCCCCCAGTTGAGAAGATGCTGGTGCATACACACACACACACACACACACACCTCCTCCCCGGCCAAGTGTAACATTGCTCGACGCCCCCGCGACGAATGGAAATACGACGTAATCGAACGCCTTTCGAGTTAATGTGTTGTGTGATTTTGATGGCACGTGGACGCGGCGTGATGTGGGGCCGGCGGGGCCGGCGGCGGAAGCATCTCGAAGGTGTCTCCCAGCGTGCAAGGGGGCCTGGCGAACGGGTCGGACGGAGGGGGGCGTTCCACGCCCTCCAACACTGTCGCCTCTTCTCCCCCCCGCCCCTCCCCATCTGGCCTCCAAAAGGGGGGGGGGGGAACGGGGGCCGAGGTAGCTTGGCTTAGGTACAGTAACCGAGGGATCATACCGGATGATGTGACAGCAAGGGGGGGGAGGGATTACAAGAGAAAGAAATGGGGCGGCCAATAAATAAATATTTCGGCTATTTGTGCGTACCCCGGCGTATTTCTCGAAAGCACGGATCCCGGCCTGAACCGGAGGGGCAGAGGCGTGGC